AGGTTCTATAATGGTATTACAAGGGTGCGTCAAGCGACAGCCTCTTTGCCATCCATTATAACCGAAGCCTTATTCTGTGAAATATTGTTTGACATGGATTCTGTCAAGAAAAAAATTGCGAACTGACTCACTCGTATAATTGTCTAGTGTCTCGGTGTTAATCTGTTTATAGCATTAAAATACGTAGAAAAATGTTTATAGCATGTATTTACTTACAATAAAAGTATGTTTAAGGTTGTATGTTTATGTTACTTTATATCCATAGTACAAATTTTGATTAGTTTGGAACTAGATAACTTAAAGTCTGTCCTACGTCGTACTGCGGATTAGCGAACTTCACATATCATCGAAATATTATATTTTGTCATTATTTACCAGTTTCTCCACGATGTTTTCCTTTCACTAACGAGTACGTTATAAGTCAGCGCTTAAAATTATCAACTTCATTGGTGCCGGCATCGGGGATCGAACTCAGGTTGCTCGAGTAATTTGAAATGAAGTCAAGGGCCCTGAGTTATCACGGATTTCGGGAAAATTATCTATGATCTATTGCTAATGAAATTATTAGTAGTCAAACATATTAAAGGAATTCATTATTTGAATTTAATTTAATTCATCTAATATAATCCGGCATCAGAATAAGGAACCAAAGACGTTGCGTACACATTTCCAGGAACTGCATTCATTAACTAATGTATAGACTTTCAAAATATTTGCACATAAATTTTGCTTAAGGGGAAAAAGTTGGAAGGAAATGTCAGAAGAAAAATGAATGACTTCTATTATCATTTGTTCCATGTGAATTCTGTAGTAAAGTAATTAATGGAAACATGAAAATGCCATTTATTGTTCTGAAATAATTATGTAGGTACATTTTATATCATGTAACATTTATGTTTTATCATTGTTAATGATAAATGTGTTCAAAATCGTTAAATGTTGGTGAGCTGAAACAAAACGCAACTCATATATGCTGTTTCAAATCACAGTGACATGAGTCATACGTTATATTTTAGTGTTTTGCTACTTTTCAAACCCCTGTGTATTTAATATTGTTTCTTACCGAACAGTAACTAATACCTTAGGCGTATAATGTACATAAAGCTGTATATTATTGTCAATGTCATAGATGTAAGAACTTTTGTTGATTATAGTTAGTGTTTCTTTGTAACTTAAGTTCTTTTTTAATTGTAGTCACGTAGTCAAAGGTCAATTAGGCTCCTTGTGAACACAGCAATCCTCAGAGTGGGAACAAAAATTGGATCGAGCTTTCCTGGGACACAAATGAAAAGTTTCAAAGCTTTTACATAAATCATACCGTTCCTAATCTCTCTGCTTATTTCCCACAAATCAGAGTTATATAGCTCCGTCAAATGCACAAAGACAAGCTCTAAACGCGGTTTTAACTTAGATAAAGCCGTTTAGAGTGCACATTTTAAAACTACATTAATAACCTGCTTGAAGGAGAAAGGCGAACATCTGAACTCAAAACTTGCTGCCACCGATATCAATCAGCCCTGGAAGGAAAGATCTGTATTAATACGAAGTTTAACCAATCAATTTAAAGGGTTAGAGCTCTTCTTCTTCGGTAGAGTCTAATCTAATATACAATTGACCTATATGATACGTGATAGAAATTTTATGTAATAAAAAACTAAAATAATTAATGGTTAACCACAAGAAGTGATAATAAGATACGTTTAATTTTATCGTAAAGTTTTCTACAAATAATAAAATATAAAGGATGAAATTACTAAAAACAAACGTATTATATATGTAAATGACAATTTATTTAAAGAAAATAACTCTCTTTGCGCTCTTAACATAATGAATATACACAAATAACGGTTAAGTTTTTGTCAAGGAAGTCTAAAGAATATATAAGAATAACAAAAGCCACTATTATAATATTTTTCATCAAGTGATCAAATTAGGACGTATTAAGGGAAATGAAATAAAATTTTTCTTCAGGTAAGAATTACTCGTACTTATTACTCGTACTACTCGTACGTATTACTCGTACTTAATTAAATATTAAACGGGAAGCAGGTTACTAAGTATTGAAAGTTTATTTTTTTTAATTCCAATCCCTAATGCCGCTATAGCATCCTATTAACGTTAAGCCTAGACTTTTAGTACAATTAAACCTCCTACAAAATGAATGTTAAAATTATGAGTACGATAGACAGACAATGCAGTGAGGTGGTATTTTTTGCAAGAAAGAAATAGGAAAAATGTGGGCAAATGCTTTATGGCTCTTGGTTTTAAAATCAAATTTTAACATATAGAAGGTACCATTACAGTGTGAATTAAAAAAATAAATGATAACTTCTTCTATTTTTTTTTAAATCCTGACTTCTATAGACACCAACCCATTAACAGAAAAAAGTATGGTGATCTACAACACCTAGTCCTGTCAGTCACCATCACGCCGTGGTACTTCCCCGGTCGCGCCTGCCTATTCGTGCATCAAGAATCCACTGCGTGCCGTGCTCTGTTGGAACTTAACAACCGTCCTATTAATAGCAACGTCAATAATACTTTGTGTATTATTGACGTTGCTGTCAATGAGACGGTCTGAGATGTCTTTAGGTCTGCCCCCCATTCCAATTCCTCAATCTCGAATGTCACTTCTAAATTCTTTATTTCGCAGACAGTGCGCCGAGGCACGGCGAGTCTAATATCTCAGGGTGGCGAGACAGCAAGACGCAATCATAGCCCGCGTCGCGGCGGTGTCACCCATGTTGCATTGTTGCTTGACGTTTTCTCGTTAGCAGCGCGCTTTGCCTACCGCGCCCCGCTATTCGACGATATGATTGTTCATATTTTATTACGCAACATTACTAAGGTACGGCTGCAACCTGTGCAGTGTGCTAGAATTGTGCCCGGATAGCGTTGAAAGGAACGTCTAGTGATTGCGACGAAACGTTTCTTGCATTCCACTTGAGTAATTCTGTATACTGGTGGTTAAAATGCGTGAAAATTTACGTATGTCAATTGGATAACTTGTAATTCCCAAGTGTTGACATTAGGTAGGCGGCCGATCATAAAAATAAAGCCAATAACAGAAATAACAACACGGTTCCGAAAATAATTGATGGACATGTTGTGCCGACCCCACCTAGTGTGTGATAAAGGCAGGAGAAAGAAGAAGAATGGGATAGCTTGTATAAGGGAACAACGTATTTACCAGTTATTGACAGCGATAGTACCCGTGATTATCAATGATGGTGATGATTATCAACCAGCAAAAAAGGAAATTAGTAGTCATTTATACACATTTACAATGACACGACAATGATAACAATGAATAACTTAATATAGCAGCAGAGAGCAACAAAACTTAATTAAAACAGCTAGTAGTTAAATATGGAATGGGAATGTGGAAATTATACGACCTTTGCACTTGTATCCTCTATTAGCAGCTACTAATGTTACTGCATTGAAGCAATTAAAAAAGAAAAGTAAGACATATTTGACACGGATGATTCTCCCCGTTCATAAATGTAGACCCATCATAAGATTTAGAAACAAGCCAAAACATATTTGAAATTTCTAATAACAAATTCAATTATACTTGTAACGATACGCACATTTTAGACAGCTTCTATTAGATTCGCTGTACCTAATACTTCCTGTATTAGGTACAGCGAATTGCTAAATTGCAATCCAGGCACGCTATCGATTTTGAATATGGTAATGAAGGTGACTTGAATTCAGGTTATACGTACATCGATTATTCAGATAGCGGTTATGTTTTGAAATCTTCGGGAGGCAGGTGGAACGAACAAAGATGTCCGTCCCGCTTGCAATATAATATCCGAGCATGAGTAATGTGTCCGCATTTTTAATGTACAAGTGAAATGTGTCCTAACATCACCTTTAAGACCTTGTCATACTTGCGGTGTCGCGTTAGCTCAAATTGAATTAATGAGCCTTGTAATCATGTTTTTGAGCTGTTTTCATTGCGGACATCTACTACGCATCAATGAAAATATCTGAGACAATAAACAATCATTTTTCTCAGAACTCTACGTAAAATATCTTTATATATATATAGTTCTACTGTACGTGTGTTATCACTGAACTCCTCCTAAATGGCTGGACCGATTTGAATAATTTTTTTTGTACGTTTGGGTGGGCCCCTGGACCATTTAGATTCACAATTCGTTTTTTTATTTTATTTATATTTGTTATCGTATTTAAGTCGTGTGTACAGGGCAAAGTCTGCCCGGTCCACTAGTATTTGATAAAATAAGAGAATCAAAATGTACTCAGGAAAGCCTGCGTAGATATTAAGTTTTTTCATCTCAATTTCATTTTAAGCCACAATTACCAATTTACTTTGTAGTTATCATTTTATTTACTTTTTCATTTTAGTCACTTTCTTTTTGTTATTAGCAATGAGTCTTCACGATGTAACTAAACACCTATTGCAAATCTGGCAGCTCTGACTCCCAAGATACAAGCACTGCTTAGTTTGGGATCCATTGTTAATGTTTCGTAGTTTGAGGTTAGTAACAAAATTTTGTATTAATCTTCATTACTATTTTCTTATTTTTAAGACATGTGTTGTAACTGACTTTTGCATCTACTTAGATAAATAAATAACAAAATATCAAATATTTTAAGCGGTTTTGGCTATGATTTTTACGACCTTTTGATATGAGATCCGGAACAATTATCTGTGTACACACAAATACTTGTGGCCTGTGCAGGATTCGAATCCACGACCTCCAACGCCGAAACCAATAGCTTAGCAACGGCGCCACCGAGTCGTTACTGTATAATGCAGGCAAAAATAAGGCAGGCTTCGGTTCTCCAGTATATATAGAATATACAGCTCGATAGTATTTAAGGTCCCTTTACAACATGGCTCATTCGGCACCAGACGCGTGCAATTACTCCAACACAAAACGAGAGTGATCCACTCGGATGGATCCGCTAACGTGCAAAATAACAATCCCGGCGGCGGACAGAAAGGGGCATTTATCATTTTAACACCCGGACAAACGCGGATGCGGCCGTTCCCGCTGGCCGAGCGCCCGCCGGATCAGTCCTGGGCAGTCAGCGGGGCCGCATTGTCCGTCAGTCCGTGGAATCCGCGGTGCCCAGTCACGGACGTCGTCTGAGGCGCCGCGCCGACGTCCACCCGCGTTATTTAGAGGCTCATTGTGCCGACAGCCGCTGAGCCCGCGTCGCGATTCGACCGCCGATAGGCGCAATTGTTCCGACTGACGATACGTCACGGTGCGATTACAAACGACGATTTTAAATCTGAATAATTCACTTGGATGCCGTAAGCGATAACGAAATTCAAATGTCACAGTAGCGTAGCAGCTCGAGTTTCGCTCGGCGCCAGTTTCCATGTGGACTTTATAATTATTTATTGTGCGTATGACTAAATATTTGAGAAAGTGTTACTCTACTGAAAATATTTAAAACACTGAAAAGTTATTATGATCCCCATCATTCCAGTTGACAATTAATAGAATCAATTTTTTTTGAAAAGTAGTTCGTTAGTGTGTACCTAGTTGATAATAAAATAAAATGTAGCGAAGTGAAAACAATAAATCAAATGTACATTAAAAACAAATTTAGTGGAATTAGCCTAAAAAAAAAAAAAAAACATAAGCTTTAAACTTTAATGAGACATGGAACTCATGTCACTATCAATAGTTTAAAATGTAACAAAATGTTTATTCTTCTTATATGATATATCTGATTTTTTAGGGTTGCGTACCCAAACGGCAAAACGAGACCATTTTACTAAGACTCTATTGTCTGCTTGTCTGTCTGTCTGTCTGTCTGTCTGTCTGTCTGTCTGTCTGTCCGCCTGTCTGTCTATCTGTCCGTCTGTCCGTCTGTCACCAGGCTGTATCACATGAACCGTGATGCTTAGGCAGTTGAAATTTTCACAGATGATGTATTGCTGTGGCCGCTATAATAAATACTACAAAACAGAAGTAAAAATATTTAAGTAGATCTCCCATACAGACATGATTGGCTACAATCGTTTTTATAGATAATGGTACAGAACCCTTCGTGCCCGAGTCCGACTCGCACTTGGTTTTATTTTTAGTGCCAATCTGCAGTCCAAATGAATTTTAAATGGGACCTTAAAATATAAATGGTTGAAAAATATTAGCCGTCAAAAAATCATCCTCTAAGACAGGGACGCAGGTTAGAATCCTGGTAGGATAAAAAAAAAAATTTCGAAAATCGATCCATTCAATTCGGATTCAAAATACTAATTTGACTGAAAAAGTACCTTTTAGACATTTATTACAATATTTAATAATTTAATTTAATAGTTTAAAATGTAATAGTTTTATCCCACCGTCATAGTTAAACTTTTCTACGGTATTTAGTGTCAAATTAAACACCGAAACGCCATTAAAGCCGAATCAGGTCTCGAGATTCATCCATCAATCTTGTTGATTTATTGATTGATGATAACCCATACAATTGACAGAGAGTAATTAAAAAAAAACCGTTTACCCATCGTATTCTCACACGTAACGACCATCCGACATGCCCGCCAAGACCACAGTAAGATGAAATATAAAATGTCATGTGTTCTTAACCAATGCCAAAGGCAGCGAGAGGCCTCTCTATAATGGTTGACATGTAGCAAAGTCAAATTTTTTCATTATCGTGTGTACGAACGGGTAACTCGTGAGCCGTCCGTGCCATTTTGTTGTGACAGGTTATTTATTTTATTGGGCCCGATGTGATTTCGATGTAAGGTCGGGTGAGATTGAAAACGGTACCTAGACGAATTTGTTATTGGAAAACATTCGAATACATGTAACGTCGGAGGTCGAAGAATTGAAATCGACTATAAAGAAGTTTACAACACAAATTTTTGTATTGATGTCCAGTGCTTTTTCATTTCATTTCACGTAACGTAAGTTTTGTGCAATTTAAATGTTTGCATTCGCAAATAAAGTCATTTTCCTAATATCTACTTTAAAATATATACTGGTGTTAGTCTCGGCTACGGACGGGACTAACTTCTCTATATTTTCCATTACTTTTAGAGGAATATAATTATTATTTACAAAAATTATATACTCTTTGCGGTGTTGTTTCTTCGTATAAGAGGTAAAAATATTATGATTGGTATATAGTAGGAATAAGAAGTTGTTAATATTATTAATTAAGTATTGTTGAGACAAAAGAGGCAGCAACGTCCTGGTCATCGCAGTGTGGGATGACTCCCCGCGGTAGATGGAGTGACGACCTGTGCAAGTGTGCGGGAAGTCGATAGATGCAGGTGGCTCAGGATCGTACTTCGTGGCAGTCTGTGGGGGAGGCCTATGTTCAGCAGTGGACTCAAACAGATGAGGCACAAGTCCTGATGATTATCTACTCGATACTGTTCTACTTTTATACATTTCACTTTATTTTTTCTTAATAATAGTTATTAAAACATGGTTATCTGTTTGATCTGTTTAGTACCTATATTTTAATTAAAATTAAGTACTAAAACAGTTTCAATGCAATCTTTTAAGTTTATTCTAATAAGGTTGTCACATATTATGAACATCGCGCATGCATTTGTCTCGGCACAGACTCTTTCACCTCGCACCAAACACCTCGACGAGTGGAGGAGTTAGATCTATGCAAAGATCAAAAAGCGGAATGTTTATCCTATTAATAACATTTTTCAAAAGAACTATAAACCATATTTCAGTGTGAACTATAAACCATATTTAAATCCGATATGAGATCCTAAATATATTTTAGCTATAGCTAAATATACCGTAGTACAATTATGTCTTAATTCTGTCTTCACGACTATGTAGTCGTGAAGACTATTTCTATGTAGAAATTGATACAAAATCGCTCGTTTCGATGGCTTTAAATAGCGGTCAACTGCCCCGTCCGTGTTCAATTAAACTGGAACAGAGATAACCGACGTCACGTACTGCGGTATCCGAGGATTGTATCTTGTCACATCGCATGTGGATTTTGTAATGGTCTCGACTACCTCAATTTATTGCTATTACAAAATACCTCCTTATATTCACCATTTGCTAGTCTGTGAAGAAAAATCTCATTAGGATATCTACTTGTGATGTATGATGGTAAGAAGTTACAGAAATAAATATTTCGACTACTTTAACTACTCGAAAAAGAACTGAAAAGAACCAGAATAAGCAATTATAAGTACTATTTTAGTGAAAATATATTTTAATAAGCATTAATTGCTAATATTGCTGATCAACGAACTTTTCATAATGTCCTACTAAACTGCCCTCTGTCATAGGATGTATAGAATATTTATAGTGAATACTAACTACAAAACTTATACATATATATTCAAAGGCGTCATAAAGCTGTTTAATATTAAAGTTATCGATTCGCTTACTGTGGCGATACATAATGTAATTGTATATTGCGCAAATTATATACAAAATTTCGGTATGTAAGGTGCCTTTGCCTAAAATAAATTTATTACACTATTGACTTGGAGTTTGTTATAAGCAAAACAAACAATCGCTCAAGATTTAAATTATTCCATTGTTGTTTACGATAAAACAGGTAAAAGATAAATTTTATTACAACCGCGGCATAAATCATAAAACAAAATGTAAATTTTACAACTGCTTCATAATAGATGCGATACAAATCCAAGGGTCATAATTTATATTCTCCTATCATTTCGATCTAGGGTCGCAATAAAATAGTTGATGTGCGTCTGCAAAAACTTGTAACAAGTTGCCATTTAAGCTTAAATGGATTTGTTTTTGAACTAACTGTCGTTTCGTCTAGCTCCAACGCTAACGATACGAGGGTGATAAGAAGCCAGAGTTTTGATACTATGGAATAGGGCGAACGTATCAAAAATATGACAATAAGAGAACTGATATGGACGAGATAAATAAAACGTATTATGTGTCGTTAAACGTGCTCGTAAAGTCGGTGGCCCTGACGTAACAATGTATGCTCGTCGCGTTCGACAGTATCGCTGAGACTTCATGTTTTTTTTTTTAAAGCCTAGTTAATATACCACGATATCGACGCTTTACATGTATACCTAATATTTGGATGGGTTTTTATAATGACGATGTCTGTATTGTCTGGCGGATTGAGTGCCATCAATGTAACCCTGCTTTATAATAGAGCCATTTATAGGATAACATAATTCAATGCTGCCATGACGTTCTACGTCAAATCACACATGAATTACACTTAGATAAGAATCATAGGTTTTCACGGTGATATGCACGGGATGTACCACGTCGTCACAAGAGAGGAATAGGAAGTTTTAGTATTAATTTTTCGTTTTATTTAGTGAGTGAGCAAACTGGAGCCCACTTGGTTAAAAGTAAGCAATGCGTCCACCACCGTTCATGTCCATCTTTATATAGCTAGAGCCACGCTTAGGCTTTTGCTGTTGCTTGATAATATTTCTACTTTTATGGAGCCTTTTATTCTATTCTTTCGACTTAACTTTAAAAAGGACAAAAATTTTGTCTCTAGGTTCATAAATAGAGCCATCAGCTAAATAGGGCACAATGGCAAAATTTCTGAGGAATTAGTTCACCTTCGGGAACACGCACATTCTAGTCTTCATCAAAGCTGTTCAAGAGAATGTCTGAACCCTATTTTTTTCCATTCTTTTAATATTCAAAATTCGAGTCGGCTCGACGTAATCTCTGCGATTGTGTTAAAGATGTATGTTCCTGATAGGGCACCGATTTCATCGCGTCGTAGTAAATTCACCAGTCCCTTGAACTCTAGGACCTCACCTCTTTGTTCTATGAAATAACGGATATAATAACTTAGTTGATACGCTGAGACTGGCTTGTTCATTCACGACGAAGCGAAGAGGAACCACAGGGGCTCGGCTTATGTTGTAAAGCCAGCTCTAGGAGTCAACTCTCCCTGTCCTCTGCAAACGAGTCGTTTGGTAAGAGGAGTCTCACTCAAGATGTCCCTGTCAATATACGCTGTGGGTCATTATGAGGATTTTAGTTGGTGCTAGCCCAACATAGCCCGCCCCTACTCCCGCACATGCTGTTAAGTGTTGACATTTCCCCCACGTCAGAAAAACAGTGATGGGCTGCATTTATCGTCTGCCACGGTACTCTTCCGCCGAAGCTGCAAAAGTCACCGGGCTAACAGGAAATTATACAGAGTCAAAAAAAATGTGCGGAGGCCATTTCTTCATTTTCGCAAGGTACTTAATAATTAAACGTATACCACTGTAATTAGAGCCGTGATAGCTCAGTGTCCGGGCGCTCGCCTTTAATTCAATATATACTCGAGCAACCTGAGTTCGATCCCCGGTGCCGGCACCAATGAAGTTTTTAACTTTAAGTGCTGAATTATCACGTGCTCCGCGGTGAAGGAAACC